TTTGGGTAGTTACCCAATAGTGAGATTGCTGGATCAAATGATAGTTTTATTTTTAGTTTTCTGAGAAATATCCATACTGTTTTCCATAGAGGTTGAACTAATTTACATTCCAGCCAACAGTGTAAGTGTTCCCTTTTCTCTGCATCTTGACCAACATCTGTTATTTTTTTACTCTTTGATAATAGCCAGTCAGACTGGTGTAAGACGCTATCTCATTAAGGTTTTTATTTGCATTTCTCTGATGATTAGTAATGTTGAGGATTTTTTATTATTGTTTAATTATTTGAGCTCCTTGTAGATTCTGTATATTAGTCCTTTATCATCTGCATAGTTTGCAGCTATTTTCTGCCATTCAGTAGGTTGTCTGCTCACTCTGTTGATCATTTCTTTTGCTATACAGAAACTTATTAGCTTAATTAAGTCCTATTTGTTTATTTTTATTTTTGTTGCCTGTGCTTTTGAGGTCTTAGTCATGAATTCTTTGCCTAGACCAATGTCCAGAAGAGATTTCCCTTGGTTTTATTCTAACATTTTTATGGTTTCAGATCTTACATTTAAGTTTTTAAACATCTTGAATTGATTTTTGTATATGGTGACAGATAGGGCTCCAGTGTCATCCTTCAGCATTTGGCAATCAGATTTTTCCAGCACCACTTACCACTTATTGAAAAGAGTGTCTTTTCTCCAGGGTATATTCTTATAGACTGTCAAAGATCAATTGGCTGTAAATATGTGGCTGTATTTTTGGTTCTCTATTCTGTTCCCTTGATCTATGTGTCTGTTTTTATGCCTGTAACATGCTGTTTTGGTTATTATAGCCTTGTAGTATAATTTGAAGTCAAGTAATATGATGCCTCCAGCCTTGTTTTTTTGTTTGTTTGTTTGTTTTTTTCTGAGGGTTGCTTTGGCCATTTCAGCTCTTTTTGGTTAAATATAAATTTTAGGATTCTTTTCCTAGTTCTGTGAAGAAATGACTGACATTGGTATTTTAATAGGAATTGTACTGAATCTGTAGATTGATTTGGGCAACATGGTGATTTTAATGATATTGATTTTTCCGATGCATGAGCATGAGATTTTTTTGTATTTGTTTGTGTCATTTATAATTTCTTTTGCCAGTGTTTTGTAGTTTTCCTTATTGAGATCTTTCATGTCCTTGGTTAAATATATTCTTAGGTATCTTATTTTTTTTTATAGCTATTGTAAATCAGAATGCCTTCTTGATTTTGTTTTCTGCTAGATCATTACTGGTATTTAGAAATGCTATTGATTTTTGTATGTTGATTTTGTATCCTGAAACTTTACTGAATACATGTATCAAATCTAAGAGTTTTTTGGTGGAGTCCTTAGGCTTTTCTAGATATAAGATCACATCATCAGCGAATAGGGATAATTTGACCTTCTCTTTTCCAGTTTGGATACCATTTATTCCTTTCTCTTGCCTGATTATTCTGAGTATGACTCCTATTGAGTAGGAATGGTGAAGTTGACATCCTTGTTTTGTTCCAGTTCTTAGTGGGAATACTATCAACTTTCTCCCATTCAGTATGATGTTGGCTGTGCATTTGTTTCATATGACCCATATTATTTTGAGACACGTTTCTCCTATGCCTAGTTTATTGAAAATTTTTATTATGAACAGATGCCGAATTTTATCATATGCTTTTTCTATGTCTGTTGAGATGATCATGTGATTTTTGCCTTAATTCTGTTTGTGTGATGTATCACACTTATTGATTTGTGTATATTGAAATCCTTACATTCCTGATATACAAGCTGTTTGATCATGCTGTATTATCTTTTTGATGTGCTGTTGGATTTGATTTGTTAGTATTTTGTTGAGGATTTTTGAGTTTATATTCATCAGGGATATTGGTCTATAGTTTTCTTTTTGGTTTTTGTTATGTACTTGTCTGGTTTTGGTATTAGAGTGATACTGACTCTGTAGAATGAGTTAGGGAGAATTTTCTCCTCATCTTTTGGGAACAGTTTCGGGAGGATTGGTATTAGATCTTCCTTGTATGTTTAGTAGAAATCAGCTGTAAATCCATCTGGTCCTGGGCTTTTCTTTTTTGGGAGATTTATTATTACTGATGCAATCTCACTACTCTTTGTTGGTCATTTCAGGCTTTCTATTTCTTCCTGCTTCAATTTTGGGAGGTATATGTTTCAAGGAAATTATCCATTTCCTCTAGGTTTTCTAGTTTGTGAGCATCTAGTTGTTAATAATAATATCTGATGATCTTTTGTATCTTGATGGTATCAGTTGTAATGTTTCATTTTTCATTTCTCATTTGATTTATTTGGATCTCTTTTTTTCTTTTTCTTGGTTCATCTGACTAGAAGTTTAACACTTTTGTTTATCTTTTTGAAAAGCTAGCTCTTTGTTGATTCCTTGTATTGTTTCTTTGGTTTCTATTTTATTTAGTTCTGCTCTGATCTTTGTTATTTCTTTTCTTCTGGTAATTTTGAGTTTGGTTTGTTCTTGCTTTTCTAGTTCCTTGAGGTGTGAAGCTAGGTTGTTAATTTGTACTCTTTCTACTTTTTGATGTCGGTATTTAATGCTACTAACATCTCTCTTTGCTTTTGCTGTATCCTACAGGTTTTGGTATGTTCGTTTATATTTTCATTTGTTTAAAATTTTCTAGGTTTCCATCTTAATTTCTTCATTGACCCAATGATCACTCAGTAGCATGCTATTTAGTTTCCATGCATTTGTACCATTTTTGAAGTACCTCTTGGTATTGATTTCTAGTTTTATTCCGTTATAGTCCAAGAAAATACTTGATATGATTTCAGTTTTTAAAAATTTGTTGAGACTTGTTTTGTTGCTTGACATATGGTCTGTCTTGGAGAGTGTTCCTTGTGTTGTTGAGAAGAATGTATGTTCTGCAATTGTTGTATAGAATGTTCTGTAAATGTCTATTCATCCCATTTGGTGTAAAGTCTAATTTAAGACCAATTTTTAAATTGATTTTCTGTCTAGATGATCTGTGTAATGCTGAGAATGAGGTGTTGCATTTCCACTATTATTGTGTTGCTGTCCATCTCTTTCTTAGTTTTAGTTCTAGTAATATTTGTTTTATGAATCTGGGTGCTCCAGTGTTGAGTGCATATGTATTTAGAGTTGTTAAATCAGTTGGTTTATGTAGTTCCAAATGACTCAAACACTATGTTCATTCCTTTTTATTCTTTTTTCTTTATTTTTGCCTGGTTGGATTATTTCAAAATACTTGTATTCAAGTTCTGAAGTTCTGCCCTTTTGCTTGGTCTAATGGGAGAAAGCTTTAGCTTTCGAATGTTTTTGTAATCCCTTCAATAAATGTTTTTTGTTCCAGAGTTTCTGTTTGGATTTTTTAAAAGATATCTATCTTCTTGGTAAATTTATCATTCATATCCTGAATTGATTTTCTGATTTCTTTGTATTGATTTTAGATTTCTCTTGCATCTAATGAGGCTTCCTTAAAAATCAATATTTTGAATTCTTTATCTAGTGTTTTGAAGATTTTTTTTTTTTGGTTAGGAGCTATTGCTAGAGAATTATTGTCTTTCTTGAGGGTGTCATATTGCATTGCTTTTTCATGCTTCCTGTATTGTTACATTGATTTCTGCACATCTGAAGCAACAGTCACTTCCTCTTATTTTTGAATTTATATTCATTGCTGGGTGGGGGGACATTTTTTCTTGAAGATGTGACTATGATGTCGGTTGGGTAGGGCCATTTGGCTTTGCTTCTTGGTGTATGCAGTGGTGAAGACTCTGTATGATTTCCTTGGTCATAAATAGCCTTAGTGGTATCTGTGGATTCCTTAGTGTGTTAGGGTGAAGTTATTGGTTACTTTTTCAGGTTTCAGTGGTAGCACTGGGGGACCAAGTGTGTTTCTCCTGTGACCTCAGGCAGCAAGCATATGCTGGCACCTGTTTGGCAGTTCCAGGCAGGCTGATTCTTGGGCCTCTGGGGGCTTTTATGGATGCTGATTGTAGTAGTGAGTGAGCTTTTGACCTTTTGGGCAGCTGGGATGGTGGGGGCAGTGACCGTAGCAGTGATCATGAAATGTTCTTCTAGTTCTCAAGCACCATGCTTTTGTGTTAGCAGTTGTTACAATGGGCTGTATGGGCCAGCCTCCAGGCTAGTAGATTGTGCTTGCAGGTAAGAACCAGCTGTGGGGGTAGCATGGCGATTTATGCCTGACCTCTGTTCCCCAGGAGAGGTATTTGGGTGAGCCAGGTGGTAGTTGGAATACCCAGGAGCCTGGATCCCACACTCGGTCTTAGAGTAGGGGGCAAAGTTGGGTGGAGCCGGACCAAGCAAATTTGTACTGAGGCTCTCCAATGGCATATGTATGCACCAGCCTTGATTGGGGGTAGAGGAAGTCCTCAGGCCCTTTGTGAAATGCTTGGTGAGGGGCAACCATTGTTGTCCTGAAGTCTTAGCATAGGTTGGGCTGTCCCAGTGGCCACCACTTTGGCCCACAGGAAAGAGACTTGCATTTGTCTCACACCCCAGTTCCAGCAGGGTTCGCTCCTCCATTCTAGCTATGGAAGCCAATCTGGCCACCCAGTCAGTCCTGGCAGGCTGCACCTAGTCCACAACTCAGCCCTAGACATAGGAGATGCCACTCAGCTTAAGATCAAGCCTCCATAGCAACTCTCTGCCTGTTTGGGACCTGGGACGGTGGTGTGCCCAGTTCCAATGCCAGTGGCTGGAGCCTACTCCTCATTTGCTTCTCAGGACTGGCTGCAGGAGTTTATCCCCTACTCAAGCCCCAGTCCTGCAAGCACCACCCAGGTTGCCCCATGCATAGTCTGCTAAGAGCTCTGATCCAGAATGTTGTCCCACTGCAGCCAGCTAGGTTTCAAAGAGGGTATAGGATGTTCCCTGGAGAAGTTCCTTATCATAGTCTTCTTGCCACTTCTCAAGTTAGATAGAACTGGGCACATGCCGCATACTCAAGAAAGAGTTGTTGACCAAATGAATAAATAAGTATCTGTCTGTTGTTACCAAGTGAATAAATTGACCAAATGAATAAATAAGTATCTGTCTAGATTCATGGCGTGGGAAAGTCAAGGTGCGCTCTCATGGCCTGGACTGTATGATTCCCCAGAGGGAAATTGGACAGCAGAAAGGCACTCACTCACCCTCTCCCATGTGGGGGATTCGCTCCCCTTTCCCAGCTGGCCTCAGCCACACAGCCTTCCTGTTTTCCTTCTTTCTGGATTTCAAAGCTTCATCTCACTTTTTTGTTGAACTCCCAAGTTCCTTCTTGAATACTGTATTTAAGGTGTGGCTGTCTGCACATTAGTTTAGTTCCTCTGAGTAGATGAAATTATTGGAAATGCTTGTAGTCAGCCATCGTGGAAAAGAAGATTCTGTGTTTTAAGCATCATTGTGTGTTTGCCAACAGGAGGCATAAAGTATGTAAATATTGAATTATATACTTTGGATTTCTTTTTCCCTTTCATTCTTTTAAGTCCTCTGCACCCTTCCAAGCATGATTTAATAATCCACAGCATAGTTTAGCCTGGTGGAGTGTGTGGTCATTATTATTCCATGTGTTCTGGTCTTTCTCACCAGCTACATTGGAAATTAAAAGAGATGATTTTTACTTATTTCCATGAATTCCTTCATCGCCCCTGCCCCCAGCTCCTAACAACAGACAGATACTTATTTATTCATTTGGTCAACAACTCTTTCTTGAGTATGCGGCATGTGTCCAGTTCCATGCTAACACAGGGCCTCAACAGTGAGAAAGAGAGAGAGAGAGAGAGAGAGTAAAAAGTCAAAGTCCTTTTTCTCAAGGAGCTCACAAACTAGGAGAAGACACAGCAATTACTTTTAAAGAGCCAAAGAAAAACATAGTTACAACTGTGAAAAGAGCCATGTAGGAAAAACACATGATTCCATATGGGGAAAAATATCTTTGTCAAGTAGGTCAAGAAAGGCTTCCTTGAACTAGTGATAATTGAGCTTAACTCTGAAAGGCCAGCAGAAGCTAACTAGACAGAGAACGGGGGAGCAAAATAGTGTCTCAGTCACAGGGAATAGCATGTGCAAACAAAGGTTCTGTGACAGAAAGTACAGGCTCTGGAGTGAGGGGAGGGTAATAACAGAGGAGATAGCTTTGTTAACAATGTTGGTCTTCATTCTAATAGCAATAGGTAATCATTGGGGATTTCAAGCAAGAAAGTGAAAAAAAAATCAGATTCTATTTAAAAGATTATTCTAGTTGCTGTATGGAAAATGGATTGGGCTGGAGGTGGTAGATCAGAATGAAATCAGGAGACCAGATATGAAACTCAAGCCATTGTCCAGGCAGAGAGGACAGATGGTGGGTGGTGGCAGTAGAGATGCAGAAAAGCAAACAGGCTTGCCCAATGTTCTGGAGGTAACATTGCCAGGGTGTGGGAGTGAATTTGACATGCAGAAAGAATGTGGAGTCAGAGTCTGTGATTCCTGGCCTATGAATGAAAGGAGAATGAACACTGAGTTGTCAACATGAGACTGCCCCAGGGCCCTTCCGGACAACCTTGCTCCTGCCTGTCTCCCCTGACTGCTGAGAGCCCATTTGCCTTCTTCTGGGCATGTCTCATAGGGTTGCTGCACTATTTACTGTATCTGCTCATCAGCAGGACAAAATCATCTCAGTGTACCCAACAAACTACCTTCAAGATCATTATCTCTGAAGGCCCCCACAGAGCCATGTGCAACTCTGAAAGCATTTCCAGGGAATGGTGGGCTGGCTTCATAAACACTAAGTGAAATTCTGTGTTTCTGCCAGACACTTTGATATATGGAGCAATGCTGGTAAGGGTTCCCGTGTGGGATTTTTTTTTTAAACCCACCTCGGAGGTATCCCTTGAATGGCAGTTGACAATTAGCTGCTAAGTAAAAGGAGGCACTTATTTTTATTGCGGGCCTTGACAGCTTTATGGTCACTGTTTAAAAGCCCAGAGTCCTGTGTGTAAAGGTGAGTGGGGAGGAGAAGTGCTGGGGGAAGGAGGGCCGGGAGGGCTGGGGCAGGTACGGACACATCCCATGGTTTCCTTTTTGGAGTCAGAACCTGAGCAGTATTTGCAAGCATGTGTTGATCTGGAAGTGAGAGTAGAGGGTTCTTCCAGCCTGGGGAGGAGGGAAAGCCTGAGGCTGGCTCATCGGAAGCGTGAGTCTTCGGCCCGCCATGCCTCACATCCCCAGGATGCCGCGGTGGGAACTGGGCTGTGGCTTTCCTGCCCTGGCACTGTTTGTTTGCTGGGATTTCAGGAGGAAAACCCCCAAGCTCCGAAAGAAAGGTATTTCTTCCTTATTTTGTGATTGACTTCTTCCACTAAAAGACATGTTTCCCAGCGCCTCTTCGCTCTCCTGTAAGGGATAGGCAGCGCTTCTGGAACTGAGCCCCTGTGAAGCTGGTATCAATGCTGAGCTGGCCGGCGAAGTGTGTATGGGGGTGGGGTGCTCTCTCGGAGACTTGGGTTGGGCTAGAGGTGGGGTGGGAGGGGCTCTTGTCCTGATCCTAGGAGCGTTCCAGTGATGACAAAGGAGTAACTAGGTGGGGAGGGAGGTGACAGCTGCTCTTTCAATTTCCCCTTCCCCAAATCAGCTCAGTGTCCTGGAGTTTTCCAGCAAATCTAAGGAAGGGGTTGAAGGGTAAGAGGTGAAGGATGAACTGTGGGAAGAGCTAGGGCAGTTACTAGAGTGGTAGTGAGGTCTCAGCCTTCTGTGGCTGCTCAGGATGGGATCCAGAACTGTAGGTCTGGGGACTGGAGACAAGGCAGACGTGGTATGAGGGAAGGTGAGGCTAGCATTAGAGGACCCTTACCCCCTAGTCCTTCCCCTTGAGACTTGATCTCTGAACTTTTGTTACATTGTCTTTAAACTTTAAAAGGAATTAAAGTTCCGAATATAGAATCACAGGGTAAATATGACCTTGGAAAAAATCCTGATCCAAATCTCAGTTTTCTCACCTGTAAAATGGAATAATATTTACTTTGTAAAGTTCTTATGAGAACGAAAAGAGATAGCACATGTGAAAGTCTCTGGAGTCAGTTCTCAGCATGATTAATTCCATGGGTTAATAGTTATAATTATTATATTACATCTATTATAATTACATTATGGTAATTATATTCCATATAATTATTAAAATTAATTTACAAAAATTCATACTTATTAAGATGGAAATGCTCTGCTTATGGCCCAAGGGGTGACAATTAGGACCCAGAGGTCAAACACTGGTAGAACTCAGGACCAGGTTTTTGGAGTTCCAAGGATGTTTCCGATTACAGACTCCTCATGTGATCTGAGATTAAGAGTGACAAAACCTGACCTAGCAAAAAAAACAAAGATGGGCCGAGGTAGGTAGATGCCCTGAGGTCAGGAGTTCGAGGCCAGCCTGGCTAGCATAGTGAAACCCCATTTCTACTGAAAATACAAAAAAAATTAGCCAGGTGTGGTTGTGCATGCCTGTAGTTCTAGCTACTCAGGAAGCTGAGGCAGGAGAATCTTTGAACCCAGGAGGAGGAGGTTGCAGTGAGCCGAGATTGTACCACTGCATTCCAGCCTGGGTGACAGAGCAAGACTGTCTCAAACAACAACAACAATAAACAAAGATGATTTTTCTCTCCTGTAAGAAGGGACACTGTTGGTTCTAATGTCTCCAGAGCATCCAGTGGTTGGTTCTTGTTGAGAGAATAGCTTTGACTGATTTCTAGGCTGCAGATGTCAAGTTTGGAGTCTTCATCATGTGGGTGAAATTTAAAGTGGCGAGACTATGAGAAAGTGTGTGCAGATGAGAAAGGGAGGCCCTGGGACCCTCCAACATTTAGAGGACAGCAAGAAAAGGAAGAATCCTCAGAGGAGGCTAAGAGCATCTGTTGAGACACATGGAGAACCAAGAGAGACTGGTGTACCAAAAGCCATGTGAGAAAGTGTCCCAAGAAGGAGAGGGTGGTTTTCTGTGTCACATGCTGCTGATAGAGCAGTTAAAATGAAGACAGAGGATGTAACCCCAGATTTTAAAATGTAAAGGCCATTGATCTCCTTGATAAGAGCAGGTTTGGGGAAGTATTGAGCATAGAAAAGGGGCAAAGAATGGGAGGAATGGGAGGCAGCGGGTAGTGACAGCTCTCTGAGGGCTAGTCCATCATGCACCAGGCTTTGAGAATAGATGCTGAGCCAGATGGACTGTCTGCCTTTGAGAGGTCCACAGTCCAGTGGAAGAGAGGGATGTTTAAATGAATCACCATAAAGTTACATGAGAAGTGATAACATTGAGGAACACACAGGGAGCTCTGTAAGTAGAGGAAAGAGTGCCCAGTTTTCTCTGGGAAGACATCCAAATTCAGGAAGACTGGGTTTCCAGGAGGAGAGTAGGAGGAAAGGCATTCTCTTGAGAATTTTTAAGGGGAAAGAGCATTTTTCATTCATTCTATCATACTCTCCAGCTATCAAAGAGCCTGACCCACAGCAAATGCTCAGCCTGCATTTGTTGAATGACTTTGAGAATTCTGGTGGAAGGAATTTACAAGAAATAGAGTTGCAAAGAAAACCATTATAATGATACAGGCAACAGCAGTGAGAATAGAGAGCTGGTTTAAAGCATGTTTAGAATGTACCAAACTATTTGGAGAGAGTGAAGCATGTTACAGATAATCCTAATGCTCACAATTTTGCTAACTGGATTAGTTAAGTGGAGGTAGCTTGTGTTAATGGCTTTGTATTATCAGTGCCTAGCAGAGTACCTTTTCTTGACTGAGGAATGAATGCTATTGCCTTTAAGGAAAGCTACAGGAGAAGCAGTGATTTAAGAGTGGGATGATACTGATATTAGAGAAAATACTGGGAGAATTTCCATTAGACACTGAACTTATGGGAATAGAGGAAAGAGAGAGAGAAGATGGAAATAGGTATGGAATAATTACATACATTATAATCATATAATAAAACACATTTTTCCATGAGTATAATAGTAAAGAGAGGAAAGCAAATATTGGTCATTTGCATGAGAGCTGAGGTGGGGGATTATTCTTCCATAAATTATATCTATCTATCCATATGTATGTGTGTATGTGTGCGTGTTGTGTGTGTGTGTGTGTGTGTGTGTGTATATATATATAGAGAGAGAGAGATCTGGACCAGATATGCAGATTAATAAATTATAAGTTTATAGGAGATATCTAAATGTGTGGACTCCTATGAACTTTCCTAAGGAGAATACTACAGTGAGAAGAAAACAAGTCTGAGTTGGAATCACAGGAAATGATGCACCAAAGGAGCAGGTGGAAGATGGAGCACAGTCAAAGAGACTGAAAGGAGTCATCAGTGAGACAGGAATAGAACAAGAGTGGTTGGATTTATTGCAATGTAAGGAGAATGTATTGAAGAGGAAGGAGAATTAACAACATCAGCCTTCAGAGGAGACCAGTAAGTAGGCTGTGGAATGAGCATTAGGAGAGCACTAGAAATCTTAGTGAGCAGATTTAGTGAAGAGGTGCAGGCTAATGAAACCAGATTGTGATGGGTTGAGTAGTGACTGACAAATGAGGAAGTGGGGCAGACATCTCTCTAGAAGTAGACACATTTTTCTACAAGTATATGGCAAAAAGAAGGAAGGCAAATGTTGGTCGTTTGCATGAGAGCTGAGGTGGGAGACAATTCTTTCAAAAATGGCAAAGACCTAGACTCAACGTGGGATTTTTCAGTTGAAAGAGAAAATTTTAAAATACAAAGAGAAAGAGTAAGTACTGGAAGAGATGGGGAAAATGAAGCCCACACTTCAGGAAGGCATCATCCTAGATGAAAGATAGGGCCCTTTTGTTCCTCTGGGAGAAAACAGAATCACAGAGGAAGAAGGATGGGAAAGGAAGGGATTGGAGAAGAGGGAGTTCACTTATAGCCTTCCATTTGGTAATGGAGGGAAAGAGGAGCCAAGATCACCTGTTTAGACAGAGAAGGGAGGGAATGGGTGGGGACTTCAAGAGGAGTGGTGAAAATTTGGAACTAATGTCTTGCAGAGATTGGAAGGATGGATTTTCACAATATGGTTATGCCTGGTCTCTTGTAGCTCTTAGTGGTGTGATGAAGGCATGCAGAGGGTAGTAGGAAGCAGCAGGGTATGGGTGAGATTAATATCGAAAGGGCTGCATTTAAGGCATGAGAGGCACAGAGGGTGAAGGCAGGACAAGACTGATAGACTGGGATGATGAAAAAAGCTAGAGGACTAGACACACAGAGAGATGTAACATAGAGCATCTGCTTTGAGACCTCAGATATGGAGCTTGAATTTCAAAGCTTTGACTTCTCTGTGCATATCCTTACGTTGTGTTTGGGGTATCTTTCCCAATCAAGTCCAGTAGACCTCTGTAGCCTGAGCTTCAACTGCTTCAACAGACATCTGCCTCTCCCATTGAGGGGCCCCTGTCTGGACCTCTCAAAGAGAATTTTCCAGATGCCATGTGGTCCACTTTAAGTCAGATTGTCTCAATCATGTTCTATCAATTTAGCGAAAAGATCTGTCCAGCTCCTTTTATAGACGAATAGAAACCTAATTCCATATGGTTATTGAAGTTTTTTAATTGTTTCTCACCATGTTTTGTGTGGTCCTGTTATTTTCATAACTTGATGATAAACTCATTTAAAGCAGGAACCAGTTCTTCCATGCCCCTTGTCTGCACAGCCCATCCCATGGGACCTGCTGCTGGCACATGGCAGGGCACTCAATGCATGCTAGTGTGAAGCTGAATTCATATACCAAGGAGATTCCTACTACTGTTTACACTAAAGAAATGCCGAAATAACCATTAGTCACGGAAAATACTTGCTTAAAGACAAATTCGTTCACTAAATGCTTCAGCAAAATGTGTTGACTGTCTGCCTTGTGCTGGGAGTTATGCAGAGTGGTGGTTTAGAAAGGCAAGCAGCAGGAGGGTTTTGAACATGGTAGAGAGTAGAGACTGCAGTGGTTACAGGTGAGAGAGGAGGCTAGCCTAGCCTGGGTAGTGGGTGGGAGTGGAGAGAACGTGAGAATGGAGGTGGGAGATTAATCTTTCAACAATGGCAAAGACGTAGACTCACATGGGATCTTTCAATTAAAAGAGAAAATTTTAGGATACAAAGAGAAAGGGTAAGTACTGGAAGAGAGGGAAGAAGTGGAACCCACAGTTCAGGAAGACGTCATCCTAGATGAAAGGTGGTACAGCTCTATAAGGGTGGAATCCACAGCAACTCAAGATGGGATGGAGGGCATCAACCTGAGAGAATCATGGGGAGAGTCAAGTGACTTGGCAAATGATGTCCTAAGGATTGAAGTTCTGGGCGCAGCAGAGCCCTGATGATGGCAGAGGGAAAGTCAGGCAGAACAGGACGGAAGCCACGGCTTGTCTTCTGAAACTTCAGGGCATGGAAGCCTGGTGGGAGAATGGGTACGCAGTGGTTGCCCTGATTTGTAAACTTGTCTTGTCACACTGTCGGAGCAGGGAAACTGTGGAGACACAAGTTTGTCCACGTGGACAGAGCTGGGGCGGAGCTGGCCCACACTTACTTTGCTGGAGGCAGGGTAATTTTGGAAAATATTTTTGGAAAGCAATTTGCATACCATCAAGCTATAAAAATGTTCAAACCTTTTGGCCCAGTACTTCTACACATGGGAAGGAAATCGTTATAAGCAAATAGTTCAAAAGACTGAAACGCTTTTTGTTATCCATCCAAATGTTAATTAATTAATTAAACAATTAATTAGAAATTATGCATTGTACTGCATACATTCCAGGATCTCTGCCAAGTGAATAAGCATGTTTGCTGTGGCAATGTTTATAATCAGGACATAGTAAACAATCCAAATTATTTTAAATGCTACAATGTTTTGGTACTATGAGACATCTATATGATAGACCACAGTAGTCCCTCTTTATCCTTAGGGGATATATTTCAAGACAGCAGTGGATGCCTGAGACCTCAGCTGGTACTGAGCCTTATATATACTACATCTTTTCAGTATTATAACTGATGTAACTACTAAGTGACTCCGGGCAAGTAGTGTATACGTGGATACATTAAACAAAGGGATGATTCATATCTCAGGCTGGACCAAGCAGGACCACGAGAGGTTTCATCATGCTACTCAGAATGACACGCAATTTAAAACTTATGAATTGTTTGTTTCTGGAATTTTTGCATTTAATGTTTTCAGATTGCAGTTGACCATAGATAAGGGGGGATGCCGTACTGCATTATGCTTTACTACTCTGTGTCACGAGTGGAACTCAGCCCACTTGCTGCCATGGTTAGGGCACATTCTCAGGAGTTCCCTGCCTGGGCTTGAATCCCCTGTGCCATGCTCTGAGCTGCCTGACCTTGGCAAGTGTCTAAGGCTCAGTGAGTTTAACAGTAAGGTGGGTGTGACATTAATACCACCTCATGGGGTTGCTGTCAAGATTAGAGGACAAAAAGTGTGTGATTCCTAGCAAAAAGTACTCAGTAAAAGCCAATCGTTATTTTAAATATGTAAGAAATGTGGGTCAATATAAAAAGACTGGCAAAGACTGCCTCAAATTTACAGGCCCCTATTTATAGCTTCAGGAAATATTATGAGTGATTTGTCTCCCATATTTTGTCTAGTATCATTGCAATAAAACCTGTGAAGTCACAGGTGACACAGAAAGTCAAGAAATAGTTCATCCAATGAACGACAGAATGACTGGCAGATTCTGTTTGCTCTCTCCTCAGCAGTGTTTGGCCAGCGCTTGGATGAGACTGTGGCCTATGAACAGAAATTTGGCCCCCATCTGGTGCCCATCCTGGTGGAGAAATGTGCAGACTTCATCCTGGAGCACGGTAGGAATGAAGAGGGCATCTTCCGTCTGCCTGGGCAGGACAACCTGGTGAAGCAGCTGAGAGATGCCTTTGATGCCGGAGAACGTCCCTCCTTTGACAGGTACGTTGCCCAGCTGCAGTGTCCCACCTCTGCTCGCCCCTTGGCCTGGCTTGGCTGGGAGGGCCTCTCCATTCCAGTGGAGCCATGGGACTTGCATAGACACTTCTAAGAGCCCTGGCTTGCAACAGAAAAAGCCTTTGTTTTGCTCCTGATTGGGCATTTGGGAGGCTGGAGCAGAGTTAAGAGAGTATGCAGATAGTTTATGTGAGAGATGATGTAAACCAGAACTGGAACTCTGCTGGGCAGATTCAGGTGATGTTTAGGACACAGGAGAAGGGGACATGCAGAGGAGGGGAGAAAGATGGGTCCTGCCTGAGGCTCACCCTTCAGGTCAGATGAGGAACATGGAAGAGCTGAGCTGACTGTACAAACATTTGGTGTGGTGGAGAGTGCACCAGATCTATATCCAAGGGCACCAGTGGCCTTTGTTAGCATTCCAGGAGTGGCCAGAATTAGGACTTCTTGTTAGTTTCCAAGATCACAGTACTACGTGATTCTGACTCAGTTCTGAGTCCTTTTGCAAGCAACACATCTGATATCTTGGCAGCCGGGCATCCTAAGTCCTTCTTGTGGAGGTCTGCCAACCCTGTTTGGGGCATATCAGGCATAGTGACACTTCCTCCCCCTACCCCCTTCCTCCCCAGCTTTGCCAACCACTCAGTTGAATTTCCTTCTCTGCCCACTCGGCTAGTACAATCCCCACCCAGTGTTGTGCAATCTTCACCCCAACTGCCTGCGTGAACTCGTCCTGCTAGCATAAGATTGACTGCTCTTTCCAAACTAGCAGCCCATAAACCAAGATTTAGTAAGATGGGCCTGAACTCTATCCAGTTTCCAAAAATGAAAGTTGCCAAGCTTATTTTGGACAAAGGGGTTGGGTTGATTCTGAGAAAATTGTGAAGACCTAAGTGTCACCTTGTGTGGAAGCTCTCTCACCCCTCACTCTAATCACCAGTGCTGCCCATTTTTCCTCCAAGCATCTCTGAGATCTCTTACAGCCACAGTCATAGTTTGGACCACCATACAGGCACCTTTCCTGCCCTTAATAAGTAATAAGTTAATTTCCCAAGGTGCTATATTTTAGCACCTAGGATCTCCTAGGGAAGCAAGAGATGCAGTTGTTATTGGAACAATAGCAGGTTATGGACACCAAGCACAGGGACCTTTCAGCAGCCCATAAAAGCATTTTGTTATCAGGCGCCTGTTTCATTATGCTTGCCACCTTTATATTCAGTTTCTTTTTATGTTTTCAGTTAGCCTTGACCTGATGAAAGATACAGGTGGGTTGTTGCTAGAGCAATGCCATACAGTGTGCCAAAACAAATAGATGCAATTGCTGGGATTTGCCAAATAACTGCCTTAGGCTTTAGCCTATGCACTATAGAGTCAGCATGGGTGGTGGTGTGGGAATCTTTGATTATTTTGAAATATTTGGGGCTGGAAGGAGGAAAAAATTACCTTATCTTGTCATGACATCTCCACCCCTGGAACTAAGGGGTAGAATTTACACGTCCAGAAATAGGAAGCTCATCAGGGGCTCTTCAGGGTCTTCCCAGGGGCACCTCTTAGGTCCACATAACCCTTGAGAGGACAAGTCTGATTTGGGAGGTGTGACTGGCTCTTATTTGATTCTTATTATTTAGTTACATTTGAGCATGTTAGGAGAGACCAGGTCTTCTCTCTCTCTGGTTTCACTCATGATTCTGAAAACCCTCTTTTTCTTCTTTTTCTGCCCTCTCTTCACACCTTTTCTTACTCCCCACTTCTCATTCCATGGGTGTGTTCTGGCGTTGAAGGCTGTGAGAGTTAAGGCAGGGTTTTCAGAGTCATGAGTGGACCAGGAGAGAGAAGCTATGGTTGTAGCTTTTCTGCCTCCTAGAGAAGGAATTTTAGGAGTCAGCGGGTGGAAGCAGGGATATTGGGGAGAGCAAGGAGTCCCCTCCTGGTGTCCCCAGCTTCATGCCTATGGGAACTCACCCAGATCCAGATCCTCTGCATTGGTCATGTGCTGGGCTCCACCCCAAGATGCCCTACCCATTACCTCACTAGAATAAAGGTGAGCAAAAGAGCTGCTGTTTGGTGAGACTAGTGCAGGTGTACCTGGTGTCCTTAGACACATAAATGTGAATTTTAAAATCTCTTGCCAAGTTTCTACCAGGATGGACACTGCCTGGCTACAAAGCCAACATGCTTCTTACCCCTATGTGTCTGTGAGAAATGCACTTACAGACATGCCACATTACAAGCATCAGAGCCATCTGGGGAGTCTTGGGTAATCCCTTGTGCATCAGCCGTTGAACTCAGAAGCCACTTGGCTCCTGACTTACTCTTAACCGTTGTTTTTTTTTTTTTTTTTTTTAAGAATGATTTAAAGTTGCTCTATTGGGTTAGAAGAACAGCAAACTCAGAAAAAAATAGTGCTACAAATTTAGACCATAAAATAGACATCTGAATTAGCCCTAGTACAATGAGGTGCTCACATTAAAACAAAAATTTATAGAAATAATTGTACAAGTTACATGGTGTTAAGTGCTGAAAAGGAAAGTCAGTACTATGAAAACTTTGAACAGGGGCTTTTCACATGGCCTGGTGGATTTAGGGAGGTCCCCAAGAAAATGACATTTAAACTGAGACCCAATAAACAAGAATGAGGAGTTAGCTAGGCCCAGCAGTGGGCATAACTGAAACATCCATACTGTAGCTGTGTTTATAACCCCTTTCTCTTTTCTAATGATGGATGTTTTTGCTGTCTAAATTTCTCCTGATTAAACTGTCTAGCTGTCTTTTTTATTGTTGTTTCTCTTCAAAAGATCCAGTTTCTTCCTTTCTTCCTTTCTTTTTTTTTTTTTTTGAGATGGGGTCTCACTCTGTCACCTAGGCTGGAGGGCAGTGGTGCAATCTCGGCTCACTGCAGCCTCTGCCTTGGGGTTCAAATGATTCTCCTGCCTCAGCCTCCTGAGTAGCTGGGATTACAGGCACCTGCCACCACGCCCAGGTAATTTTTGTATTTTTAGTAGATATGGGGATTTGCAATGTTGGCCAGGCTGGTCTCAAGCTCCTAACCTCAAGTGATCTACCCGCCTCAGCCTCCCAAAGTGCTGGGACTACAGCCGTGAGCCACTGCTCCCAGCCAGGATCCAGTTTCTTGACTTAATCATTTACACTGTTTTTTCCATTTCAAACTCTGTTTTCTTCACTCATTCCATTGGCATGTTTCAGCGTTGAGAGCTGTGCCCTGTAGTGGACAAAGCATAGAATACTGGAGGCATAGGGTAATGAAAGGAGAGGAGGGGATTACAGGGATCAGCCTCACTTCAGGATAATAGAATTGAAGAGATTTGGAAGGCTGAGTGGATGAAGTGTGTGAAGGAGAGGCCCCAATCAAATGAGAGTCTCAGGATGCTGTTAGAGACAAGCGGGTGGACTGCAGTGTAGGGAATTTTGCGGGATGCAACTTTTGGACTTTGGGAGGATTCTGCTCCTGCAAATTGTCAGCTGACTGTCTTTCTGCCACTTCTCGGGAATTTCTCCTAACGTATTTTGACAAGAGTACTTTTCCTAGTCTGGCTTTGCCTTGGGTATTTTTAGGCAGTGACTCAGCAGGGAAGGATTTTCCAGAATCCTCATGTTAAATAAATGGTTCTCATCTCAGATTTCCTGAGGGCAACCACAGAGCATAGAGTGAGCTCTGTGCCAGCCTGTGTTTTCCTATTCAGGTAAAGTTCACAGGCTGCAAAGGAGGAGCCTTTTCAGAAGACAGCTCCAACAACTGGCTGTCAAAACCAAAGCCAAATGCACACAAAGCGCCAAGACAGAGCTTTACAATCTAGGCCCAGTGTTCTTGTTTCTGCTGCCTCAGATGCTTCCCTTCTCCTCCTCTTGTCCAGATCCACCCCTCCCTTCCCTCCTAGGACCAAGAGGCATGTCCTCCGCCCTATTCTATATTTCTCATCACTGAAATCAAGGAGATTCCCAGGTTGCTCTGGACCTCCTATCACATCCTTTTCATGACGCTACCAGGGCTGCTGCCTAAGAATGACAGGTTTTATAAATATGAAATAAACATTTCTTCAGCTTCAGGAATATGGTAGTGAATCTTATTTTCTCTTGTAGCATTGCAGAATCAATGCAATTGCCTTGTAAGCCAGGGTCAGCAAACTGTTCTTAATGGGCCACATATTAAATATTTAGGCTTTGCATGCCAGATGGTCTCTACTGCAACCACGATACTCTGCTTAGCACATAAATGAACAAACGTGGTGGTGTTCTTCCGTAATTTTACTTACAGATGCTGACATCTGAATGTCTTATAATTTTTACATCAGGAAACACTCTTCTTCTTGTGATTTTCCCGTCAGCTATTAAAAAATGTAAAGATCATTATTCGTTGACAGGCTGTACAAGTAGAGGCAGTGGGACAGATCTGACTCCTGGCCCGTACTTGTGAAGCCCTCCTATAGATGGAGAAGCTGAACTGAAGAGCAGTGCTTCTTTCAGTCAATCAGGCCCATGGTGAGGCCTCCTCTCCTCATGTTCCAGGCTGACACACATGCTGCCTGCCTCATGCCCTAACCCCTTACCACTTTTCAGAGCTCATTTCAGGTGCTCTTTCATCTGAGAAGTCACTTATGTGTTCCCATCTCTGCCTTGGGTGTTCTTTTTCCATGCTTCCATAGGATCCTGAATCCTGGGCTTCCCATAACATAGCATTAGCCACACAGTATTGTAATGCTCGAGTCCCCATAGCTCTGTGGCTCAATGGGGCCAGGGCTCCTGCGTGTCCCTTGGATTGGTTACTGAAATCCCAGTGTGTGACAAGTATCTTGCACCTGGCAGGTTTTCTCAATGCTTATTGATTGATTGCATTAATTAATCTCAGCACTATTTTAGGCGCTCTGGAAGATTAAAGAGATGAATGGACCAAGGATATAAAAGAGTTAACACATACAAAATTATAGACTAATTAGACAATGCTAACTGTGAGGCGCTAAATAAGTTGAAGAAAGAAGAATGCAATAAAGACTAAAATCATTAAGGAAGGTTTAGTAAAAATGTAGACCTTGAACTCACCTTTGAGGTAGTTGGGTGGAAGGGACAGAGGAAAATGTATTCGGGATTTTTGTTCCAGAAGGGTGAATTAGCAAAAATGTTTTGCTCTGATTCTTCTTTATCAGACTCTACTCCTCTGCAGAATTCCCCTTTGTAATTTATGGTTCTAGTCACTGAATCACCAGGATGGAAGTGAGGAACATCGTAATGTTTTTTTTTTTTTTAAAAGGGGTTTAAAAGAAGTTGGTTTTTTTCTTTCAGAGACACAGATGTGCACACTGTGGCTTCCCTGTTAAAGCTCTACCTCCGAGACCTCCCAGAGCCCGTGATTCCCTGGAGCCAGTATGAAGGGTTCCTGCTCTGTGGGCAGCTCACGAATGCGGATGAGGCAAAGGTTTGCATCTTCTTAGAGTTAGTTGTCCTGCTTTAGAAGCAAGTGATTGGTTTTCTGGACAAGATTCCACTAGGCAACAGTGGGTCAAGGGGCCCATACTTTTTGGTAAGATAGTCAAAATGAAACTTCCTCAGCAACAAAAGGCATATGAACTCAATCATAGTGACTGGCAAACCACAGCCTTCATGAGATGTAATAATCCAATAAAGAATCGGCCCATAATCAAATACCACTGGGTCATATTAAAAGTAGTAAGAAAAGGAGGATACATCAAAGGAGGGTTTCAAGCACTATGACCCTGCTGAGACTTGCTGGGACACAAGGACAGGCTGGAAGGCAAGTGTGAGGTCACATAGTTCAAGCTCTACAGCAGCTGTGAGTGTCAGGCGTGGTCGATCAAAGAATGCATGTGCTAGGGAGAAGCAGGACAGGGAAGTTTTTTTGATTGTCATTCTTTTCGGCCACAGCTGCCTGTAGGTTCTGTAATCACCATCTGCAGCATCATGCTTGTGAGAGTGTACAAGTTGACCAGCAGGATTTCTGATCCTGAATAAATTATTTCTAGAAAAGCCTTATAGTCAACAATGACCACACTATAGTCATGTTACTATAATGAGCCAGCCAACCAACCAACGAAGGAAACTGATGAAACCCAACCAACAACAGCAATTCTTGATGATTTTTAAACAAGATTTTCAAATTCAAGTGATCCAAGAAGAAGTTTATGTCACACTGTTGATATGAGGGTTTAACCTCTTTAAGTAGGTTGGTTTATATCAATGACTATGTTAAAAGCCCTCTCTGGCAAAATGGTGCACAGAAAAATCTATAATGAAGACCTAGATTTAACTTTGATTTTGCCATTAGACAAATTATGCATCTTTTATAAGACTCAGTTTATTTACTTAGACCAATAGAACTTTCTATGGTAATGGAACTTTATATATATCTGCACCATTCAATATGGTAACCACAAGCCACACATGGCTTTTGGGCATCTAAAATGTGGCTAGTGCACCTGAGAAGAAGCCAAATTCCTAATTTTATTTGATTTTGATTTAGTTAAATTTAAGTAGCTACCTGTGGCAAATAACTCCTCCATTGGACAGCACAAACTTAAATAATTTTCATAATATCAGCTATGCCTAGGATTGCTTTGAGGACCCAGGGATATGATAATGGTGGGTGGCTTAAAAATGTTTTCAACATAAGGGGAGGTTTATTATCTTCCATGCTTCAGAATTTGTTAGATAGTCTGCTCCATAGAATATATTCACTTAAAATGAATGAAGAAATAGCACCCTAGCCTTGTAAGAAAACACGGTTGTAAGAACTTCCATCGCTGACAGATGGTGCGGGGAGCATCATGATTTGAATAGGTCCTGACATAAAAGAAAAGCTGACTTTATATTTCAAAATTAAGAAAGGAAGAGAACAATCATGATACGGCTAACCTGATAACAGGTTTTGTGGCTCTTCTCCAAACAAAAATTAGGTTGCATGATCTGAAGGGTGATATTTTGTGCATAACTTACGAACTTTATTGGGGGAGGGAGAAGGGGATATGAAAAATCTTAACTTATACTGGTATATCTGCTCACCATTGTGAAAGTAATAACATTGTGTGGAATAAGGTTTAAAAGGCAGCTAAAAAGGTAAATGTTTCAGATGGTGTCTCATCCCTGGGTTCTGGGGAAAGTAAAGGAGGCACCTATGTACTGTTCTGACAATAAGATTCCCACCCCCGCACTCACTTGACACCTGCTTCTCCCAGCTTTTCTCAATCTCAGCGTCTTTGAGAATTTCCACCTCTGTGGCAATGCATGTCTACACACAGGGACTAAGGTCCTTCTCACTGGTGAAAACATGGCAGAGGTGGCAGCTGGGAGGGGTGAATGTGTAGCAACCTTTGCAAAGAATTTACTTGACTCAGCTGAAGGAGGGATCTCAGCATGAAGCTGATGCTGCGCTAAGAAGGTCTACATCTACAGGAGGTGCCACCCATGGGCCGACAAGGCTGGAGGGTGTGTTTTCCACAGGAGAGCTGCTCAGGTTTGAGGAGTGCCTGCATGCCGCATGGGAATTGTGTACCCTCTTTTTGTTTTATTTTGTTTTTGAGTCGGAGTTTTGCTTTTTCGTCCAGGCTGGCGTGCAGTGGCTTGATCTCAGTTCACTGCAACCTCCGCCTTCTGGTTTCAAGCGAATCTCCTGCCTCAGCCTCCCGAGTAGCTGGGATTCTAGGTGCCCACCACCACACTCAGCTAGTGAATCGTGTACTCTCACAAGCACCATGTTGCATATGGTGATTACAGACACTGTAGGCAACTGTGGTTGAAAATACAGAAAAGCTCCCTTCCCTCGTCTCTCTGGCACATGCATTCCTTGTAGACATTGCCTGACATCCACAGCCATCCACTGCGGAGCGTGAACAGTCTCACCTTGCACCACCCTCCAGCATCTTCTGCCTGTCTGTCTCCCAGCAGGTCTCAGCTAGGCCATAGTGCTTGAAATCCTTCTCAGAAGTATCCTCCTTTTCTCACCAGTCTTAAAGTAATTCTGAGATATCTTATTATGGTCTTTTTCTTTATTGAGTTGTTACATCTCAAGCATTCATTAAGCAAACAATTATCGTATGAGTTGTTAAACAGTCCTTCCTTAGAGTAGCTCAGGGTCAAGGGTAGGGTGCAGTGGCATAATCACATATAAATAAAAAGCACACATGACAAAAACTATGAACCTTTTTTTTGAAATTTTATGAGAATTTAGAGCTATTTTCATTTTTTTTAATCCGTAAAACTACAGGGACAGGAATGACTGCCAAAGTGTCGTTTCTGCACAGATACAGCAATTCTGTTCCAGGGTCTTCTTGCTGGCACGTGGGCAGGGTCATTTACTGGTAAATGATTTGCTTGTGTAAATCTCTTCCCAGGCTCAGCAGGAGTTGATGAAGCAGCTCTCCATCCTTCCTCGTGACAACTATAGTCTCCTGAGCTATATCTGCAGGTGAGAGGCCCATGGTATCAACTCTACGGTTTTCAACCCCATCAGAAAGAAGCTCCTAGTTAGAAAAGGAGGGACTACCTCTGTGAACACAGAGATTCTGGTCCAGCACTTTGGAGTATCAGCTCCATTCACATAACACTAAAGTAGCTTCCTATATAATTTCAAGGATTCTGAAAACCTGGTTGACCCAAAAAATGAACATGCTCCCCACTTTAGGCCTGCCTCAGCACTGCCCAGGGTCCTGGGACATGCAAGAGAACCCAGAATCCTTATAATGTTTCCAGGATGATCTCCCATCTTCGTGACTGTGAGCCATAGCTTAGTGCCGGGGAGACATTCATTCTGGGTCACCCTGGTTATTCTCCTTCAGCCCTTTCTGGAGACCGGCCGTGCATCATCCCTGTGGCAACTCTAGCTGTGGATTGATCCAGATCTGGCTGGGCTGGGAAGTAGGATCTTCATTCCAGACAGACCTGAATTATGTCTTTTATTTTTTTTTTTAAATAATTTATTCTAGTTCCTAGATTATAAAAGTCATACTTGCTTGACTTGGGAACCAGGAAGATATAGCGAATGGTAAATGAGAAATAAAAAGAACCCACAATCCCCTCACCTAGCAATAAGTACTATTAACACTTGCGTTTTTCCTTCTGGGTGTTTCCTCTTCATGATAGATCTTTTCATACCTCAGTATAAATGTAGGGGAACAGTATTTTATAGTAAATCAAAATTATACCATATATATCTTTTATATATGTGTATGTATATATATGTGTATGTGTGTGTGTGTATATATACATATATATATATATATATATATATGATTGTATCCTGCTTTTTTGGTTTGATTTTTTACTATGAGCATTTCCACATGTCACAAAATTAGATCATAAATAACTTTATAGTATTTCATAATGTTTCATTATTTGGACACATCACCATTTATTTAATAATAGCTCTGTATTTGAAATTTTGTTGCTTCATTCTATAAATTTTTAAATGGTTCTTAGAGTATTTAGAAATTCCCTATTTTTACAGTGAATCTAAGAGCTTTGTTCCTCAAAGGGGTAGAATTTTAGTAAAAATTCAGTGTTATGGAGCACCTGCTGAGAATTAGCAATGTTTGTGCTCTAATCAGAGGATGAGAGCAAGGAGGCACCATGGATTCCCCAGACCTGAGACATTCTTACTAATAAAGTTTTTCTCTTTGGAGACTTTGGTGGGATGGGTGCTGACAGCTGGGATATAAGCCTATCAAGGCAAGACGTGAATGTGGTCAGATGTCCATTTCACCTTTTCTAGTCCACTCCGAGCTCCTGACATGGCTCTTACCTCCTGCTTATGTGATTCCTCCCAACTCCCCAATACCGTATCTCAGCAGCTGGGCAGGACCCTCCTGGTTCCTCTTCCTTCCTTGGTCTTGGATCTTTCAGGATGAGTCAAAATTCTTGTGGGCAGAGCAGGCTGGTCTCATTCCTGAGACTAGGAGGAAAGCATTGAGATACATCCTGGAGTTCTCACTGGAACCATATGGTTCTTCTTCCTGGCTACTTCCTGCTTTCTACCATGGGATTTCTTGGCTGCCTCCAGGTTCCTACATGAAATACAGCTGAACTGTGCTGTTAATAAGATGAGTGTGGACAACCTGGCTACTGTGATTGGTGTGAATCTCATCAGGTCGAAGGTTGAAGACCCTGCTGTGATCATGAGAGGTATGGCTGGTCCCGTAATGAAAGCAGGTGCACAGGAAGTAACAAATAAAGCACTCACCCTGATATTTGTGCACTGCTCTGAAGTTTGTCAAGCATTTTCAGCTGGTTGTCTTTCTCATCTGAATCATGCAGTAGCTTTGTGAGGTAGGCAGGGCAGGAATTGTGTCCATTTTCCAGATCACAACAAAAGACAGGTCAAGCGTTTGCCCAATGGTCCTAGAGTACAGTAGGCTAGCACAAAAATAGCTAGCTAGTATTTCTTAGTCTTTCATTACTTTTAAACACCCTTAGCCAGATCAAGCAAGCAGGTTTCATTGTATTTATTTATTTACTGAGATGGAGCCTCATTCTGTTGCTGAGGCTGAAGTGCAGTGGTGTGACCTTAGCTCACTGCAACCTCCATCTCCTGGGTTCAAGTGATTCTCCTGCCTCAGCCTCCTGAGTAGTTGGGACTACAGGCACACACCCCCACACCTGGATAATCTTTGTAATTTTAATAGTGGCAGGGTTTCACCATGTTGGCCAGGCTAGTCTCGAACTCCTGACCTGAAGTGATCTTCCTGCCTCAGCCTCCCAAAGTGCTGGGATTACAGACATGAGCCACCATGCCCCGCCAGGTTTTATTTTATAAGCCAGCTCACAAAAAGGCTGCTTATGAAACTGTGCTGGGCAGGCTTCTGAGGTTGTGTCTTGGTTCAATGAACAAAAGTCCTGGCATAGAGTACTGATATCTGCCATGGATGTGGGCCAGGGGCAGTAAGCCTGGCACATATTTGCTGTGTGTCTGATAAGAAACCAGATGTCATATTGAGGACCACATCATGAGAGAAAGCTGTTTTCATTTTTCTTCTATTTTATTGCCTACTTTCCTGATCAAAAACTAATCCAGTGGACTATTGGCTCCCCCTAAAACAGCTCCCTCTTTCATTCTACTCCCATATCCTTTTATTCCATCCCTTTCAACATAATTTCCAACTCCAAGCAATTAAAAAGGGTCTTTTGAGAAGGAGAATGAGGCCCTTCTGGGCCATGTAGTTGTAGGACTGAGTCTGGGGACATCCACAAGTGAAGATCCTTGAGGACTGACTACCTGCCTCCTACACTACTCTACATATCTTTTTCTTCTTTCTTTCAGGGACTCCTCAGATCCAAAGAGTGATGACTATGATGATCAGAGATCATGCAGTCCTTTTCCCCAAGTCCAAGGATGTACCCCTGTCACCCCCTGCACAGAAAAATGACCCCAAGAAAGCTCCAGTGGCCCGAAGCTCTGTGGGCTGGGATGCCACTGAAGACCCCCGAATTTCTAGGACAGACAGCTTCAGTAGCATGGTAAGGTGCAGAGAACCGTCTGCTTTCATTGGGTTCTTCCTTTAGTCCAGGCAACTCCATGTAAGGCCTGCTCTGGGGTCGCAATTTGGGGAGTTTTAGATGATGCAGTGGCAGTGGGCACAACTGATACAGACTCATCTGAACATACCTTGAAAGCCTGGCCTCTTTCCAAATCTAGTTTCTTTTTTCTTTTTTTCTTTCTTTTTTGAGATGGAGTATCACTCTGTCACCCAGGCTGGAGTATAATGGCACAATCTTGGCTCACTGCAACCTCTACCTCCCAGGTTCAAGTGACTCTCCTGCCTCAGCCTCCTGAGTAGTTGGGACTACAGGCACACACCACCACATCCAGCTAATTTTTTGTATTTATAGTAGAAACAGGGTTTCACCACGTTAGCCAGGATGGTCTCGATCTCCTGACCTTGTGATCTGCCTGTCTCAGCCTCCCAAAGTGCTGGAATTACAGGCATGAGCCATCATGCCTGTCCTCCAAATCTAGTTTCTATTGGCATTCTTGAGGGGGGTGAGTGACAAGTGTGCCAATTGCCCAGTGACTGAGCAATGAGAGTCCTCACTGAAGCCTACTCTAAAAGAGAGACTCAAATGAAACCCAGAGAAATTCAATGGAAAAAATGTATACCACATTGTAAATGTTTTTATGAGAATTGTTGAAAATCCTGGGTGAACGTCCAGAGAAAACTGGTTTCCTGCTAACCCATGAAACGTGATTCCTTTCTCAGAGTATGTGATGTGTTTGTGTAATATTTCTCATTCCTCGATAAGCTGTCTCAGCCGTGTCAGCCCCCACGTTTGTGCTGAAGGGTTGAAACTCACGTTCCCAGTGTCCACAAGCTCTGCTGACTCTGAAATGTAGACTATGTGAGGGCAATCATTTACAAAGGTCAAATATTTTTATATATTTATAGGAACAAATATTTTTACAAAGAACATGTGAACTTTATATAATAGCTTGATCTTTATGTGTGGCCAAAAAAATGGATTTAAGATTTCTAGTTGATCAGATGATTCAAGTTACCTGCAGTACTGTTAATTCTGAAGATTTTTTTAAAAGGCAGGTAATGAGTAGTGGTTGTGATTTTTCTTAGGGTAGGTATTTCTGGATGCAATGCATTTTACTAACACTCTAAAACTAAAATAAAATTTTAAAATGCTCATGCTTCATGTAACAAGATCATCCTACAGTCCTTGAGAATAGCCATTATTGTACTCATTTAACAGATTTCTGCCGTTTATTGATTTCTGTGGGCAGGAACTATGCTCAAAAATTTATACTGTTCACTTCTAGAGTCCTCATATTACATAACACTGTAGGGTAGAATTTATCATTCGTATTGTGTTATTGAGGAGCAGAAACTCAGAGAGGCTGAGCAGCTGGCCCAACACAGAAGCACTAACTTGTTATAGAGGAGGACTCAGATTCAGTTCTTCCTTCAGGACCCAGGTGCTTCTAACTCCAGGTGGGGTTTCTGAAGCAAATGATTGGCTACCAAGGTCAAAGGGAGGGCTCGAACCCAATTGTCTGATTTTATGTTTAGGTCTCACTTGATCTTAGCCAAGAGGAGCTAAGAAGCAATTGATTTTATGTTTAAGTATCATATTCTCTCTACTTTTTCTTAATGATTTCATTTAAAAATATATAATATATGCACATGGTTCAAATAATCAAAAAGATAGAAAAAAGTATACATTGAGAAGTTGTACTCCCTCCCATATTCTCACCCACCCCAACTCTCATTGCCTTCATTTAGCCTTCATAGTTTCTTATCCGTCATTGTTCATTTTTGAAAATACAAGAAAACATGAGTGTAATTTACCTCCTTTTTTACACAAAATGTAGTATAATTCTCTCTCTCCCTCTACAGTCACATACATACACACACATACACTCTCACATATAACTTTGTATCTTTGTACTTAGCAGTGTATCCTGGAGACTTTTTCATGTCAATACCCAGATAACTACCTCATATGACCTCATCTTTTCAGGAGGTATACAGTGTTCCATTCTGTAGTTGTACCAGTCCCTATAGATAAACAGACTGCCTTCAGTTCTTTTTTTTTTTGAGACAAGGTCTCACTTTATCGCCTAAGCTGGAGTGCAGTGGTGTGATCACAGCTCACTGCAGCCTAGACCTCCTGCTGAAGCGATTCTATGGCCTCAGCCTCCCAAGTATCTGGGACTATGGGTGCATACTACCATGCTGAGCTAAATTTTTGGCGTATTTTTTGTAGAGACAAGGTTTCACCATGTTGCCCAGGCTGGCCTCGAACTCCAGAGCTCAAGCAATCTACCCTCCTCGGCCTCCCAAAGTGCTGGGATTGTAGGCATCAGCCACTGCACCCAGCCTTTCAGTTCTTTAGACTACAAATCAAGCTGTAATAAATAACCTTGACCAGACCTCCTTTTGTACTCAGGTAGATGTATTTCTCACATAAATTTTCAGAAGTGGGCTTGATGGGTCAGAGAGTAAATCGATTTGATTGTGTGATTTTAAAATAAATTATCAGAGTTTGTATCATTTTATACTTCCAGAAGCAATGCATGAAAGAACTGTTTTCCTACACTTTCACCAGCAGAAGAGCATGTTGTCAAATTTTGGGAGTTTGCTCATGTGATAAGTGAGAACTGGCCTTTCAGGAGTTTTAATTTTAATTTGAGTTTCTCGTATTATGAGAGAAGCTGAACATCTTTTCTTACGTACAAGGGCCAGTTTCATTTTTTCCACCGTGAGCTGCCTGATCTTGTCCTTTGACCATAATTATATTGGTTTTTAATCTTTTTCTTCTCAATATTTATGAACTTTATCTATTAAGGAGAGTAACCAGTTGTCTGATATGCATTGCAAATATTTTTTGCCAGTTATTTGCTTTTTTAGTTTGGTATGCGGTGATTTGTTTCTTTGTTTTATTTTTGTTCTTTTTAATTTTTTAGGTCATAGAAATCAAAAGGTCAAATTTATCAAACTTTTATGGCTTCTGGGTTTTCAGTCATATTTACAAAGACCACCCATTCTAAGATTACCCAACGATCCCACTTTAGGATTTTTTAACCACAAACACTTGATCTTGGTGAGCACTTCATCTCTAGAACATGGTTTCTTTAGTTCAGTATTGTTTTGGAAAAAATGCCAATGCAGATAATCAATTAATGTGATATATTAAGAGTTTCATCGGTATGCTACCAGGAAACATTTGTTTTGGGGTCTCTAATCCTTCTTAGGAGCATGACACACAGAGGTGAAAACCCCATGTGACATCCATGGCCATTTCTTTTCTAGACAAGCGACTCTGACACAACCAGTCCCACCGGACAGCAGCCGAGTGATGGGTTTCTGGAGGACAGCAGCAAAGCACCCAGGGAGAAGCCAGGAGATTGGAAGATGCAGTCTCGAAAAAGGACTCAGACACTCCCTAACCGGAAATGTTTCTTGACATCAGCTTTTCAAGGTGCCAACAGCAGCAAAATGGAGATCTTTAAAAATGAGTTCTGGTCACCTTCTTCAGAGGCAAAGGCAGGGGAAGGGCACAGGAGAACGATGTCTCAAGACTTGCGCCAACTTTCTGACTCCCAGCGGACTTCTACCTATGATAACGTCCCTTCCCTGCCAGGGTCCCCTGGGGAGGAAGCCAATGCACTCTCTTCCCAAGCCTGTGACTCCAAGGGAGATACTCTTGCCAGTCCAAACTCTGAAACTGGGCCTGGAAAAAAGAACTCTGGAGAAGAGGAACTTGATTCTTTGCAGAGGACAGTCCGGGACTTACAAAAGGAAATAGAAACACAGAAGCAAATGTATGAGGAACAGATTAAAAAGTAAGTCACAGACAGAGGGACACTGGGCGGCACTTGACTTCCATCTTTAGAGACAAGAGGGATTGTTCTCATCCACCAGAGAAGTCACATCACAGAACTTCCATTTTGGAAAGACAGTAGTCTATAACAGGCCTAGGAAAGAAAGAGTAAAGGGAACAATGAGACGACTAAATAGGTGAACACTCTAAACTTTAGGCTAGATTTGGGAAATGTAAATATCTAGCTTAAGTAACCTAATCAACAGTTTCCAAACAGTGAGTGGTTCTTTAAGAATCAAGATGCTTTAACTAATTTAAAGAAACTTAAAAAAAATTTTTTTTATGTTAAGGTCATTAATTGATTCTGCAAACATTCCTCAAGCCCCTCATCTGTGCAAGACACATTCCTGTTGCTAGGGAATAGCACTGAACGAAAGAGACAAAAGTCCCTGTACTTTCAGAACTTTTTTCTAGTGGGAACAGATGGACAATATAAATATATAATGAAATATATGTTATGTCAGCTGATGGCAAGTGCTATGGAGAAAAATTAAGTGGGTCAGAAGGTTGGAAATTTCAAGGAATGGGTTCCAGTGTAAAATGAGTTCTGGTCAGGGAAGGGGGTCAGGGAAGGCCTCCCTGAGAAAGGCAGCAGGTAAGTAAAGGCCTGAAGGAGATGAGGAGTGACTCAGGTGCATAGATGGGAGATGATCATGGCTGGTGCTGAGGCCGTGAGAAAGGAGCGGGCCCCCATGGTTCCACCCACGAAGAGTGGAAGCTGCCTGGGGCTAGGGAGAATGATTAGAAGGAGATGAGGGTGGAGAAGTACAGGAGGCCAGGACGCAGTAGGGGTTTGTCAGCCACTGGAAAGCCTGAGTAAGACAGAAGTTTCTGGGTGGTTTCAACCTGGTTTATTCTTCACCGGGTCTCTGGCTTCCCACTGAGCACCAGCTGCAGGGGGGCAAACAGAAATGGGAGGCCAGTTAGGCAGCTGTTGCCACTGTCACATGCAAATTCCCAAGATCCATGCACACAATTTGTTCTCATGGGTAGGTAAAGTATTTTCTTGAAATCTTTTTCACACTACTGATTGGCCGGCAAATTTGTTTTCAGGAAAGAAAACCTTGATCTAGCTGTGCCCATATCAGCACTAGTCATGAGGCAGTGAAATGTGAATTAGTGGGCTCTTAGATTTATGGATATGTCTTAGTCCAGCAGATTCAGGTATCTGAAGGGAAGGCTGCTGTGAACCCTCATTTACTGTTCCACATAGAAAGCTGCCATCTAGAAGCAAAATGTAGTTTGTTTGTCTAAGAACCTGAAACCAATCTTTTGTAGAATTAAAGATTTCTGTGACATCTTGGCAGGGATCAAAGCAGTCCCAGAGAAGTCTCACACTTCTCTGATACCCTGTTGAAGATACTCAGACATGATGGCAAGTGCTGTGGAGAAAAATAAAGTGGGTATCTTCAACGGGTTAGGAAAAGAACTGGCTGTCACAGAGGCAGCCAGTTTCCTGCCCCGTTGAAGACATGCGTATCTTCAACAAGGTAGGAAAAGAACTGGCTGCCACAGAGGTGGCTGCTCCTCCTGAATGGAACAGAGTCTTCTGAATCCAGCTGTCGGGGAAGCCTCCCATCCCAGACTTCTGAGCCTACACAGACAGGGCCTAGCACAATGCCTTACATGGAATTTCTTCCAGAGCCAGAGGGGTACAGAAAACTTGGAGGAAAAAAGTAGGTTTGTAATGAGAGGGCCAAAGAAATGAGACCAATTTAGCTTTAAGAAGAGGGCTGGCCGTGGTGGCTCAGGCCTGTAATCCCAGCACTTTGGGAGGCCGAGGGGGGCGGATCACGAGGTCAAGAGATCGAGACCATCCTGGCCAACGTGGTGAAACCACGTCTCTACTGAAAATACAAAAATTAGCTGGGCGTGGTGGCGTGTGCTTGTAGTCCCAGCTACTCGGGAGGCTGAGGCAGGAGAATTGCTTGAATCCAGGAGGTGGAGGTTGCAGTGAGCTGAGATTGTGCCACTGCACTCCAGCCTAGTGCCTGGTGAGAGAGTGAGACTCTGTCTCAAAAAAAAAGTAGAAGAGATAGGCAGGGGTAGGCAAAGTTCTGAAGATGGATTTTTACCCACAGAATAGGCCAAGGCCTTTGAAGATAGAACCCAAGCTATGGGCTCACATGGGGGCTCAAGTCTCCCTTGTACAAATGGGTAGGCCGCTGGGGGAAAAGGGAGGCACACTCTACAGAATGAAATTCTGAAACAAATTTTCAATCACACAATCGGCATATGTACACTCATTCCTAAGGGTCAATTCAGCACAGTCTGGTGGGGGGGCACCTGGCACTACACTAGGATTTTGGCCAATACCAATGAAAATCCTGGCAATGCAGGAATCCCACAGATTTTTCACCTGGCATGGAATTCAGAAATGAGGGTGAGACTGCCAGGACCACTGCTCCCACAAGGGCAGGTCCCTCTGTTTCTCCAAATCTTGGTCCTCAGGAAATCCTTAATAAGAGAGGGTGCCAGTCTATGCTCTCCATTGACACAGGATGAGGAGGCACTCATGAGCACAGTGGTGTGAGAAATCTGAAATATGGATGGGGCTTCCAGGACTGATACAAGGTGCTGTGGGAGTGAATATATAGATCTATTAGAGCTGGTCTCTTCTTTCAAAGACTTTGTTACCTGGTAGAAGATACAAAACAAAATGACATTAAAAAAAGCAGAATAATGTCACAAGGTAATGTTAAATGACAAAGTAGGGGCTCACAAGTGCTGTGGGAATTCAGGTTTCCTGGGACGTCTTCATGTGGGAAGAGGGACATATCAGAGGTTGGATAAGGATCTTATGATTTGAAAAGGAAGATGAGCAGAAGGTTGTGAGCAAGGGTGAAGGAAGAGCCTAGAATGAATGCCATATTCTGTCATTCTTTTCTTCCCTTCCCTGTAGCCTTGAGAAGGAGAATTATGAAGTTTGGGCTAAGGTGGTGAGGCTCAATGAAGAACTGGAGAAGGAAAAGAAGAAGTTTGCAGCCTTAGAGATCAGCCTCCGCAACGTGGAGCGCTCCCGGGAAGATGTGGAGAAGAGGAACAAGGCCTTGGAAGAAGAAGTCAAGGAATTTGTCAAATCCATGGAGGAACCCAAGACCGAGGAGGCTTAAGGGTCGCAAGAGTACTGCAAGAACAGCCTGAGAGAGACCCAACTCTGACTCCTGTCTCAGTGCTACCTGATGACGGGAAACAAAATTACTCTCTAAGAGGGAAAGGACATTTTGAAGGAGACATCAACTTTCCCCATAAATAAAAGAATGGAGTTTGCAGGAAGGGGAGGGTGAGCAGAGATGTGTGTGGACATCTCTGACCGTCCATTGCTGTGTTCAAATGGATCATGTTATTTCACTCTGGTCTCAGGCATGACCATGTCCAGCGAAGACGTTTGAAGCAGGTCACATCTCAGGACCCAGGCAACAGACTGGCTGCAGCACCGGCTAGCTGAGGTGTGATTAATTCTTTGTTTTTTGTATGGAACAGCTCCCTTGCCAGACAGCCTCAGGGCATCTCTGAGACACAGGGGCAGAAAATGACATTCAGCTTTTGACTCCTCATCTATGTAGTGCTGTGTTGTTGGGGGCTGCATCTGCTGAAGCCAGAACCCCATTCGGCTATCCCACCATGATGCCCATTCTCCAGGGATTCTCCAACTTATTATTATTATTAGACTAAACCAGGACAAGCAACAAACTGTATTTATAAAAGCAAAATTGATGAGAAAATTATGTTAGAATAAAGCAAAAAAAAAAAAAGCAAGGCTATTGCTAATCCACACAGCACTTTTGTGAGAATTAGCAAAAGACACCCCTTCCTTGGGGCAGATGGGTTGGTCAACAGGGCATGGGCTGGATTTCAGTCCTGACTTGTCTTTCAGGGACAGGTGTTTCTGTACTTCCTGAGCCCCCTTTTTTTCTGTATTTCACAAAATTATTGTGGGAACTATATGAGAAGATGTAATCTAGTCCCTACTTGCCTTTTAATTGTCTATGGATGGCCTGGGAACAAAGGATTCCTACTATGATATGACCTCTTTATAGGTTTGTTGTGGGTTTAAATAGTAATTGTCATGATAGTAGTTTCTTTTTTCCTACTTCACCAAAATGCAAGTGATTTTACCCTTTAAAGGGGCAGCAGGCACTAGACCATAGGTGGGAGAGGGGCTTTCCCAATGGACAGCTGATTCTTCCCCTTCTATGTCAAGCCAGCCTGGCAGAGGCCCTGGTCAGACCCCAAACCTCTAGGTAGGTTGGTTGAGTCTTTTTTTTGTTGTTACCATTCTAATTCGATGGTCTCCAAGCTCTTTTGACTGGGTACCTCATCAACAGAAAATGTTTGAGCATACATCCCCCAATATATTTATTTATTTATTTATAAATTATATACATGTACTGCTATAGTACTCCACATTTATATTATAAAACACAGAACAGTAACTGAATAATGATGAGATAAAAACAAAGATTGATAGATGTTCCCAAGTTTGAATAATGATGGGATGAAAACAAAGATTGATAGATGTTCCCAAGTGCGCTGTCAGCTCTGGAGACACCGACCCAGTTCCCCAGCAAGTATTACCTGTACCAAATTCATATCATTCATCCTATTGCTCCCACAAATGTGCTTGAACTCTTGAAGCCCTGTGGCTTCAGTAGTGGTTTGGAATCTATGGTTACCATAGTGAGAGTTTAGCCTTCCCCAGCACATGGGCCTCCTCTGTCATTCCTTTTTCTCTCTCTCTTCTTCATTCTAGTTAGTCTTTCCTTCCTGTGGGCATGACTTATTACCAACAGAGTGAAGTGGACAGGAGCGTCAGTGTTTCTTGGTCCTGCTACTCAGGCCCTGCTCCACCAACACCACAGCCCCTTTGAGGACCAGATTGATGGAGAGGGAGGGTGACTCTTAACAGCATTCCCGCCTAGGCCTGCTTGCAGAAGATTGAGGGGAAATTAATCTGAATATTCATAAGAAAAGCAATAAAATACTTGGTTTCCTAAGTTTTCAGTGTTTTTAAATTACAGAATAGCAAACATGGAAACACTTACTGACCACCTGATTTATGTTGGTGAGTGCCTGCATTTCTGCAAGGCACACATCCTTGTGTTCTCCCACGGATTCCTCACACTGACTCTTTGGGGGCTTAAACAGAGTTGAACAAGGAAGTGGCTGCTGTCACAGTTTCCAAAGGAAACATTTGTCTGAAGGTACAAAGAGGAGGTTCTCAAGTCTGTTTTGAGGTCCCTGTCATTGGGCCTTGCTGGGTCCAGGAGCCAGAGCTCAGGCTGAGTGGGAACCTTTGGATCCCAACTACCTTCTGGTTTGCCAGTGTCTCTCATTCTATTTTTTTCCACCAGTATTGTGAGAAAACAGAGCAGCTGTTGGCCTTGGAAGCACTGCAAGTGTCAGTCCCTCTTCACAATCAAGAGAAGAGTCTGGCTCGCTTAAGTTGCCACTAGTTGCTCCTGTGCCACCTTGCATACAAGGAGAACACAAGAAACAGGGTTTTCCTAGGACCCTGGGACCTTATGAGTCCAAGAGTCACATGAATCCCTTCATCCTGCTGGGAAAGGCAGAAAGGAGGGAGCCCCTGAGGGCCAGAAAAGAAGATCTGGGATCTGATGGCACTGTTTTAATGCCCTCAGAAGGCATGCATGTGATCGCATGACAGGGTAGCTCCAGGCCTTATCTGGACCAAAGGACCAGGTTCTAGAAGGCAAAACCTGGAGACTGACCTGTGTCGGGTATGCTATTGGACTCTGCAGCTCCTACCTATATTTCCATGGACAGAGCTCTATCAAATCTGCCTTTTTCCCAGCCACACCCTTACCTCTAAGTTACCCACTCTCCTCTCTGCTCATGGGATAAGAACCTAGAAAGGTCTTCAAAGTGCATTTGAAAACCCCTTGCCCTCTTCCCTCCCAAACTCCTTTTCTGTCAGAGCCTCAAGCCTGCCCCTTATCAGGGCACTCTTAAGTTTGGGGTAGATATGATGATTTTCCAGTAAGACTATACACTGGATAGGACAATTCGTACTAGAGGATTGGCTGGGATGATTCCCTTCCAGGGGGTTCTGGTCAGGGTCTGTAGTCTGGAGAGACTATGTGCAGCACTCCTAGTGCAGAGACAGCTGCATAGGATGTAAACTAAAAACATGATGTTGTTTTGACCAACTTCCTAAAACTGTTCAAAGGCCTGTCCCCCCAGAAAAGAATGAAGCAGAAGACTCCCAGGCTGCTCAAGGCTGCTGAGAGGGCGAGGCCAGAGAACACAGTGGCACAGCAACTGCTGGCTGGATTCCACGGGCTCTGGACCAGAAGATGCATGTACACGAGCGAACGCCCTGTAAACTTCCACATTCCACCACTTCCTTTGCAGATAGCAGCAGTGGTCAGGTCACGTGCTAGCCGGAGAGCAGAGAAAACACTTGGAGGCTGTTCCTGCAATTAAATGTTCCTGCATTTACAAGAATCACACAAAACCCTTCATCCTGCCAGAGAAGGCTCGGAGGGAGGTCCTGAGGGTGGAGTTCTAGCTACTGCTCAGAAACTCAGGCTGGCATCTGGCCAGCAGCAGAGAGGCTGGAGCCAGGGGGCTTGTGGCTCAGATGATGTCCCAGGGCAACTGGGAATAAGCAAAGAATATCAACACAGCTGTGTAACTGTAACTTCTATTTTTTCTGATGCTGGAAACGCTCTTAGAATCATAGGGTAACACAACTGGAAAACAATCCGATTATATTTAATTCAACCTATTTACTTCATGGACAGGGGAACCAAGGCCCAGTCACACAAAATAAATGGCCAGTGCTCATGCAGAAATTAGAAAGAGGATTGAAGGAGGTGATTTTTGAAGGCTCCTCTAATCCCTGATTCAGTGATTCTTGTGATTCTTGCGATTCTTGCCTTCTCTCCAAGGGTTGTTTCCCCTAAACTGCAACCATGGTGTGAACCCTGCTGAACATCTGTTGCTGAGTGCTTCCAAAATACAGAGCACTTCCTCAGCTCATGATTATAACCAAGACCCACTTAATATGATGCCAGCTTTTCACCTACTGTGTATTCCCAATACTATTGTAAAACACGGGTTCTCAGTCTTGGTGGCACAAGAGAATTACCTTAGGAACTTTTACAAAAAATTCTGATGTTCAGAACTTACTTCATATCAATTGAATCAGAATCTTTGGGATGGGGCCTAAAAACTGGCATTTAAAATAAAAATTTCCAGTTGATTCTAATATGCAACCAGGATGGTTAAACAGTTTTAAAACTGCTAAGTTTGGTGTTAGTCGTCACTAATGATAATATTATTATCGTCTTTATATTATTTATCTACCTGCTCCCCTTTCCCATCTCCAGTTAACACTGCTACATTCTCTGATTTACAGGCTGGTTTTCATGTGTTTATTCATCTAGGATAAGACATGATTAAGAGATACAGAATGGATTTATGTTATATACCCATTTTATGGATGGCGAAAGTGAGCCCAAAGATGTTTTTTAAAAATCAGCATAACGGTAGCTTAGTATGAACAAATCCAAGGGTTTTGAAAATTCCTTATTGTATGGGAGCACTGTTTACTTGCTTTAAGGGTTGACTCTAGACACAGGCAAAGAAGATAAGCACTTGAAGGCCTGATTTTAAAAGTACCGAGAATAGCTCTGATGAAAGTCATCTCCCTTTCAGACTCACATTAGATTGAGAGGTCCCTACCAGTACCCTTTGGAATATTAACCACAAATGTGATATTTCTGGAAGATTCCACGAAGCCTCCACTAATCATTAGTATCGTCTTTATATTAGTTATCTGATTCTTAGAAGAGAACTGTGTAATGAAGGAATGAGAGCCTGGCCAGATAAGTTGTGCTGTGGGTGGAGGAACAGATCAAGAATATGGATGTCACCTAAAAGTATTGTACTGTGGAGCCCTAGCCGCCTGAGATGGGGTGAAGGTGCAAAAATCAGGCCTGAAGAGGGGAAAGGGGGACTCATCAGCAGGGTGGATGGAGAAATGGTTTACCCCTACGCACACCTGATACCTGCTCAAAGTTGGCATTCTGCCTCATTCCTTCTCTCTGTTCTCCGCTTTATTGATGTCCTGTCAGTCCGGCTGAGGCCAGCCCATGCTAAACATCACCCTGGGTCATGAGTCCTTGGTCAGCATCAGTAGCAACATCATGACAGTAATTACCAATAATAAGCAACAAATACCATTTATTAATACTTTCTGGCAAGCACTATACCCATGTCATTTCCTTTAAATCTCAAATCAACTCTTCTGATTGCAATCAAACCTCTTTTACTCATGTGGCATAGCTAGGAACTGAAGTGTATGTACAGCCTGCACAAGGCTACATTATCTTTGTCTTCACCTAGAGAAGGAGTGCAGCATAGAAAAGGACTACTTGGCAGAGATGGACTAAAGCAACATTTGCAAAGACTTTTTCTTTAAAAAAGAGAAGAATGGCAGGGGTTCTGGAAAGAACCACTAACTGTGCCTTGTCTGACTCAGCATCAAGATGGAAAAATATCTAGAGGCTGTTGCCTTCCTCACAGCCCAAGTCAAATCCACCTGCTTGCTCTGAGGATGGCTGGGAGGCCACACATCACCACGTCCTTTCCTGGAGTCAATTTGGGGTTCCATGTCATTGGCTCTGCCTTTGAAAGAACTCTGGGAATGGGGTTGTCTTGGAGTCCCTGGTTCCATGTGGCTAAGGAGTGAGCCTCTCATATCTCCATGCTGAATTTCCTCACTCATTCTCAACCCTCCTTTCCATTTCAAGAAACATTTTCTGTTCCCACAAGCCTGGGTGGGCCCTCAAGTGGAGCATATTGGGTAAGTTTGAAGGAGTACTGCCAGTGAGACCTTCAAGAGACCCCGTGTGAATGGGCTGGTATTGGTGGGAAGAAACAGGGTCATGCATTTCCCATCCCTTACTCCTCATAAGATGTGTCATCAGCTAAATATAGACTCTGGCCCTGTGGAAGTTTACAAGCTCAGACAGCCTATCCTGACTGGGGGCTCACAGCTTCTGAGAGAAGGGCACTGGGATGTCTTCAGCCCATTTCCCATAGTCTGACTGTTTCCAAAACACTTCTCGTGGGTCAGCGAGCACAGGAAGTATTGCCATGTGACCACTTTGGAAACAACACTCACCTAATGATGCACTAACATGGACTTTCCCTCTGCTTTTTACGTTTGATCATTGTTGACACTTTGGCGAGGATACAAAGCCCTGTTTCTTTTAGAAGTAGCACCTTCCCTGGGTGTGAAAGACAGGTTTCCCTGTCCGTCTTCTTTTAGGGAAAGAGCTGGACGAGTACATGACCCAGCTTAGCTGGTCTGGGGCTGAACACAGACACAATCATGAGAAGTTGAACTGAGTCACCAGGAAGCAGGTGGTTGGGATTAGGTACTGTGTCTATTTCAGGGCTAAATATTGCCTTTAGTGAAAAACCATACCCAATCAGAAAAAGCCAACACCACGCTCTGCAATACTAAGTTGACTCATCTGTTGAAATGCTGGTTATTAAGCAAAACTAATACCCTCAGAATTCCAGATTTCACTTCCAAGTTTCTTACATGGGATTTCATAGTATCAGGCCCAAAAATGTGTACATCAATGGTTTGGTTCGCTGTATATGCTACTTACTTACTCAAGCAGTCACTCTGGTGTGTTCTCATGGCTCTTGTGAAAGTATTAGAATTCAGTTCCCAAAGAATTTGAGGGCTACTGGAGAAAAAAAATACATGGAAATCATATGGCATCCAGCAGTTGCCATGCCCATCTTGAGATAGTTGATCTCTAGATAATCTTGGCAGTTGTGTTGTCAATGATGTCTTTACTTAGTACAACTGGATTGCACTCGAGTTATAGCAAAATGTTACAACACTGGTTCTTCCTGCCATGGTTAATGGCATTTTAGAAGAGCTATGATTGACTAAAGCCATCTTTTTAAAAAAATGCAAATATTGAGTGGTTTCAATTCCCTAAGCATG